TCATCCTTGACAATAGTTGATGCTTTTTGTCTGAATTTTGTGATTTTTTGGAATACTTTGGGGAGGGTGAGAACTAAGATCAATCATTTTTGGTTGTTAAGATTGTGAGCACTTCTTTTGCTTAGTTGGGACATCCTCCTTTGTTAAAACTTTAACAAGTGGTTGTGTTAAAGTCATCAGTCAAACCAGTATGCACACCATCAATTGTCCATAAGAAAAAGTTTAGTTGGCCGACCAATTTGGAAAATTACACATGCCTGCCTTGGTTGTATAGTTCAATTTAAAAGTTGAGAATACTTGCTGCGTTGTCAGGGTAAAATGATGTAATGTTCATTCCAGTAACAGACGACAAGGCTAACATACACAAAAGAGAGGAAAGGTACCAAGGTTTGCATTTCGGATGGCTTTGTGGGATGATTGACGTTAATGTTGTTGATGATTTGAAGAGCATGTTTGGTATCCTTGATAAAGGATGGCGAATCCTTTACCAAGGATGATATGACGTGGCCTAGAAGGCTGGAAATGCGTTCAGTGGCACAACCACAAGCAGACACAATGGGTCTTCCTGGGTTGTTAAGTTTGTGGATTTTTGGGAGAATGGGAAGTTCACCACTGGAGACCAGTTGATGAACCGTGGATCGAACAGTGGATTGGTGATAAGATGTCAAGTCCTCATCAACCCTGCAATAAAAAGAGGTGTCACCAAGTTTTCTGTGGGCTTCATCACGGTATAAATCAGCCTTCCAGACAACCAAGGCACCCCCCTTTTCAGCAAGTTTGATGGCAATGTCAGTGCGACCATGAAGAGATTTGAGAGCCTTGAATTCCAAAGGGGTAAGGTTTGATGGCCTTTTGGGCCTAAATTTAGGAAGTCTATCTATTTCATGTCAACATTGTATAATAAAAAGAACTCGGCACCCAAAGAAACCTTCTGGGGAGACCAGGAGGATTTTTTAGGATTACTTGCCTCAAATACGCCTTTGGTGGAAACGGAGGGCTGATCATGAAAATGCCAGCGAAAAAAGATTCAGTGTCAGCTTTACGAAGAACACTGATAAAGAGTACAAGGTGTGGGTAAGACGAAGCAAAACGAAGACGAAGCAAAATATTTTGTGCGGTACCCAGACCTAACTTTCTTCGCTAATATTATGAAATAACTCTGAAATACGCAAATATTATGAAAAAACTATGAAATTTTTCGGAAACAAGGACAATTTGTAAAGGTGAAGAGAAATCCCCTGTTTGCCTGCTGCATTATGTTGCAGTTTAAGTGAGTTTTAAACTTTTCTATAGCTAAACCTTCAAAACATCAAAACAGCACAAATAATTATAATAACCATACAAGCACTAAACGTCAAATTTTGTTTTTCGATTACTTATTTTATTCAATGATTTTAGCGACTACATAAGCTGCAAAGTAATATTTGTTTTATCGAAACTCTGAAGTACACTTTTGAAAAGTCTTTTTAAAGTTTAAGCAATGATATAAAGCCTTAAACGGTCGGTTAGCTCCTTGTAAAACAACATACCAAGCTCGTACTTGTCAAAATAACAATGCATTCTTACAGCAAACACTGAATAAGCAAAATATAGACACCTACTACTTCAAAGATTATATACTACGAGTCGTTCCTATTTCACTGTTTCTGTGCTCTGATGATCTTTAAATCTTTTATTATTGTTTTAATATTTGATTCCATGATTTCATTTTATATTTTTAAAAAATAGTTTGCAAAATGCCGGTTAAAAAGCTGAAGCTTTAATGCATGCTCTCTTTTTGTCTTAGCCAATCAGCAAGTTGTAGACTGTTCCTTCTTCGTTCAAGTTTTGCGCATGCGCACAACTACCATGACCACTGAACGTGCATGACATTTGGGCAACTTTGGAATTGCCTATGTTCTGTGTTCTATCAGAATACCCGGGGGTAATTCCTAATCTCCAGGCCGGATTAGTACCCTTGCACGGGTACTAATAAACTACATACAGCTTAATCATTAGTAAATACTATATAATATAAAGTTATTGTTGGGCCATTATTGGCAGAATTAGAATATTATTCTTTATTTATTACTCCGGCGTGAGCGACAGAAGTGTTTTTTTTTCATTGACGCAAGTGTGTTTTGGCATAATATATTCTAGTATTTGAAATGTGTATGTGACGGTATTTATCTACATCACAGTTTGGTCTCTTAAGAGTCGTGGTGCACAGCTTTGGCTCCTTTTCTGATGTGTGATTTGATTTCGCTTACATGATATGGCAAATTCCTCCAAGAAGAACAAATAAACCGTTCTTTTGATGGTGTTCGATTAAGTTTAGATTTAATAGGGGTCAGAATATATTTAATACATGTAGATTCTTGTCCTATATTAAAAACATCGCTGCTACTTCGCCGTTTAACAAGATGTGGTCGTGTATATGTGCGTTGACAAGTTGCAGTTTGCACAAGATTTAAGATTTAATATAACTTTGCCTCTTTTAAAGGGATTCAAAACCTTTGATTTCGATTGGAGAGTGGAAACTTTAATTTCAGCATCACACTGTACTGCCTCGATATCTGACACCTTATTGAGTTCAAGCAAAGAGCAAAGATTGCACTTCATTTGGATCAACATTTGCATATCTTTACTTGCCGCCATGATACAGTATGGCAATGAACAAAATACAACGTCACAGTGGCTGAGATGCATCAGTGAGTGTGTCCATGGTCTCAAATTTTTCGCAAGATGCACCGGTCGGCAGGTTAAAAACCGTCCCAAAACAATAGATTTGTGATGTCACAGTTGCTGCTGGCAATGCATTGGTGCATAAACTGATACATGGCTAAGCAGCCACTGTGACATTGTTAGCCACTGAACTCTACACATATATAGCTTAATGAGAGATATCCCACATCAGATTTCCCCAGATATTCTTGATGCGACATTTCAAATGCTTTCATGTTATGATATGATTTTTTGACAGCATCTACAGCCCAAAGAGTAGGCGTTGTTCAAAAGCAGGCTATTCAGCGATTTTGCTCTCTCAAAAAGGTTTAAATACTATTAGGCACACCTGCTAAATACTATTAGGCACACCTGCGCTGTATTATCATTATAAATAGAGTATATAGAACTACTGTATATTTATTTTAAGAAATCTGTCCACATGGGATGCATCGGTCTCAATCCGCCCCTGAGTTCCTGCCTCAATGAAACTTCATCATGAAGTATACTGACCCAATAATCACATTCTTTAAACATTTTATATGCTCTAGGAGATGTAGCATGCAGTTGAAAACACCACCTACTTAGTGGATGTAATTGTCTCGCTCTCTTGTCTGAGCAACTCATTGCCTTCTCTTGTTGCTGTAGGAACAGAGTCTTAAAGTCATTTAAATCTTCTGATGAATAACTGGATTTTAAAGTTTTGAATAAGCCTTCTATTGCTTCATCGTTGTCTGGCTGTAGGTTAACTGAATCCTACGCAATATTATTTATTAGTTAGATAATTTAATAGAGCAATATAGCAACTAGGAGCAATAGGGGCAATATTTATAATCACTGCGTGAGTATATTTCATTTACCATTTCGAACTTTATTCAAGGTTAGCATTCTTTTTTATTTTTTTGTTATAACGGTTGATTGTAATTGTCGAATCCACATCTTTTCAGCTATGTTTATCTCATCTGCCGTAAGAGGACCCTTCCGTTCCGCTGCAGTCGACTTCCGCTGACATCTTTGTAGGTTCAGAACAAATAATAACGTACGCAGTAACTCGTAAGATTGTTCCAATTCTGCTGTATCTAGAAGGATCGATTAACTCTTCGAGGTTGTGCTCTGGTTGACTTCCGACCGTAACTAGTGCTGTGGTTGACTTAGTAGAGCTCGACTTTAACTCTTGACAATAATCAGGATTGTCCTTAGACTCGTTGCCTGGCTGAGCAGGCCATAATTCTTGTGGGTTCTGGAGAAAACTAGGTCCATGCCACCATTGTCATCGTTGATCAGCTGAGTGGCTAACGCACCTCGAGATGTTACGTCTGCAGGATTGAATTGTGTTGGACAATATCTCCAGGTTTCTACCGATGTTAACTTCCTTATCTCTGAAACTCGATTCTGTACCCACACCTTGTACTCTTTATCAGTGTTCTTAATCCAATGTAAAGCTGTTGTTGAATCAGACCACAAGTTATCGGATTCAATTTCAAGAATTTCCCCGATTGCTTCTTTCACACTGTTGAGTAATCGTGAAGCTACTAAACAAGATAACAGTTCCAAACGCGGTATGGTTTGGTTCGTCATGGGTGCAACTCGTGTTTTCGACGCGATTAGATTACAATGTACGTCAAAACGACTGGCGAAATAAGTCCTAACGGATCGAAAAACTTTGCTGCTGTACTAAGAATGATTCTCTTGGTCAGGTTGTTGAGATCAGCATCAGATAATACTTTAGCAAAGTCCATTATTAGTTCATCAGTGTATGTGTTCCAGATCTGTCCGCGAACGCGAGAGCTGGCTTCGTTCACTGTGTCATATCCGTGAGCTACATCAGAAGTGGTACAATTTTCGAGATCAACTGATGCTTCCGCTTTAGAAAATGTAGAGTTCTCCTGGAGTGTTTCGATCAATTCTTGGGAATTACTGTTCCACTTCCGCATGTTGAAGCGTCCGTCTGATAACCGGGTTTTCACCTTTGTTGAAAGTTGCACTGCAGATGGCACATCTCGCGAACCAGAGGCAAGGTCATCAACATAAAGCGATCGCAGAACTTCTTCGACAAACTGTGGGTCTACGATTGCATATTGGTTAAGGTGATGTTTTAAGGTGGCATTTAGAATGAATGGGCTAGATGTAAGTCCGAAAACTACTCTTGTAAATCATAACACTTGAATCTGGGGAGCTTCACTCGACCGGTCATCAACCCATAGGAATCTCAGGTAGTCTCGGTGCTCTGGTGCTATAGCAATATTCAGAAAGGCCTTCTTTATGTCCGCTGTTACTGCCACGGGATGAATTCGGAATCAGGTAAGGATGTTGAATATTAATGGTGTAAGAGGGGGGCCAACATAAAGGCAATCATTCAGGCTAGGACCGGTTTTCTTCGCTGACGCATCATATACGATTCTTAATTTAGTTGTATCTTTATCATTTCTCACAACTTCCTTGTGTGGCAAATAATGAACATGTCCAGGTGACTTCCCATCAACTTCTTCGACTAGTTCGACTACTCCAGTGTTAAGTTGATCTTCAATAACCTTATGGTATTCCTGCAAAACAGATGGTGTTGCACGGAGACGCTTAATCAAGGACCCTAGTCGCTTCTCGCAAATGCTGTAGTTGTCTGGAAGGAGTGGGTGTTCATCCTTAAAAGGCAGTTTTGCTTCATACCGGTCACCATTAAAATGCACTTCTTGTGTGAACTTGTCGTAAACAGACGGTTCCTTTTCCTGAATCCCCAATGTTTCTAAATCCCAGAATTTAACAAGTTCATTCTTTAGGTTTGGTATATTCTCAGGTTGTACAGTCGAGGTTTCAACTCGAAGAACGTTGGTGGTGGTCAAGTTCACAGATGTTTGTTGAGGGTTCTCTGGGCTGCTGGTAACCACAGGTCCGGATAATACCCATCCGAGCTTTGTCCAGATGGCAACTGGTCCAGGACTTACGCCTCTTCTGATGATATTGGTAACAAAGTTCCAATAATAGTCTGCTCCCAGCAGAACATCAACTTCAACTTCATTTGAGAGACTTGATTTCTCAGCTAGACACAACCCACAAAGGTGAGGATATCTTTCGACTACTGCCTGAACGCTTTGAGTACAAATCGGACTACAGATGGTTGGCACAACATACCCCTTTGCATAAAGTTCCATCCCATCAAGTGCTGTTATGGAAAATTGTACTTGCTCATATTCTTTTTGACTTGGTTCATCATCCCCAAAGGCTGTTATCTTCAATGTATCACTTCCAACAAGACTAAGATCGAGGTTTTCCTTTAAATGTTGTGAGACATAGGTACGTTGACTGCAAGAATCAAATACAATCCTCTCTTTCACTTTACGCCCAGAACTTCCAGGTTGACCGACTAATGCCTGGGCTGTTTGCAATAACACTGCTGTGCTACTGTTCACATACATTGTTGAAGTTCCCACACTCATTGTCTCAGGGGATCCGTCCTTGGGTTTGTCGGTTTCTACTTCACAGATTGATGTGTGGTGTTGTTTGTTACACTTGTGGCAGTTAAATTTTGATGGACAACTCTTGGCTAGATGACCAGATTTTAAACATGAAAAACATTTTCCCTTCTTTCTTAGAATGGCACGACGAGCTGACACATTGGTAACAACATTACATTTGAGTGATGAATGTTGTTGATTACAATACACACAGTTGGGGGTATAGTGTTGTTTACCAGTTTACCAGTAAACAAGGTGGAAGAAGTAGGAGGGAATTTGTCCTTATTCCGATTAACACCGTCCTTTTTCATAGTAGAATGTGAGTTATTAATCATGCTACATCTCTCTCTGGCTTCTAACTCAGTTTTGAACTGCTCCATAAATTGCTCTACATCCCAATTGTTCCTCTCCAACTTCCTACTTATTACTAATTGTAATTCCTCAGGCAACTTATTGACGATGACAGAAATCAATAGGCTGCCACAGGATTCTGATTAGATACCCAAATTCTGTAGGCTTCTAACATGGGTTTATATCTTTTATGGCATTTAACTTCAACAAGGCGTCCATGTGGCTGGATACAATGATTTGAGTTTTTGCAAATCTATCCTGTAGTAAATTTATTGCAGCATCATAGTTCTCTTTAGTCAGTGAAAATCCTTCTATTGCTGATGCTGCTATACCGTCCAGTAAACTTCGTAAATAGTTAAATTTGTCAACTTTAGACACCTCATCGTTTTCATGAACTGCTGCTGAAAAACTGTCCCAGAATGCATGCCAAAGTTTGGGATCACCCGAAAATCGCATCAATGATAGTTTTGCCAATTTTGACTTCACTGATGGCTCTGAGCCAGTTGATGCTTTACTCAAATTACTACTTCCTTGTCCGTTACTTTCAGTACTGGTCAATGCTAGATCAATTCTAACAAGTGCTCTAGCAATTGACTCACCAAATTCACTGCTTTTTAAAATATCACTGTTAATGTCTTCGTCCTTGTCTAACTGTTCCATTATTGCATCATCTTGCTGTTTTAAAACACTCTTCTTACCAGCTAACGTACTTTTCCAGCTTTGTAGTCTTTCCTTTTCCAATAGCGTTCCATTGTAAGACTGGCAAACTTTGTTTACACCTTGAATTGTTTTCGTCGCGAAGGCACGATGCCCTCTTCGTACTCTTTTCAACTTATCTAAAGACATTCTATTTCTACGAAATTCGAACCAACTATCCGGCTCGAAGGACCATGTTGTAAATAGTATCTTCACTCAGTTTTGATTTCAGGTTTAATAAAATAAACGAAAATTATACAAAATACATGACACAAGGTTACAGTATTGTTCGCCCCGAAGGCATTCCCAAAAGCACATGTTTTTTCACGCGTGGGATACATGATACTCGCGCTTACGTCATTTCGAACATAATTCTCTAGCACATATAATAAACATTAATATTTAATGGTTGTTTTTATTTTATATTTTGACATAGGTAATTTGAACCATATTGTAGTTCTTATATAGTTATAAATTAATTTGTTACAATTGTCTGAATTAAACAAACTAGAGAAAAAAATAGGACGTTATGTGTATGTGGGCCAAAGGGGAACATAATGAGTCATTTGCTGAATAGTTAATTGCGAATTGAGGGGCGTAGAAATTGAAATAAAAATAACCAGATGGGGTAGTTTGGAATTTGTTTGACAAACGCCAACCATGTGGTGTGTTTTTAAAAAGGGGTTTTGTTTGTGTATGATGGAGTTCTTCAAGAAACTATGTAGTTGCGTTTGTAGAAATGGGTTGTGTAGCGTTACTGGTGGTGTTTAAATCAAGGTTATGTAAGGAGGTAGGTAGAAAAGTAAAACAAAAGACAAGAGAGGCAAGCGTGCGAATCAGTATCCCCATACGCGGCGTTTCATCCTTTTGCGGACTCGTCAGCTGGGAGCAGGGTTGGCTTTGTGTGAAAGAACAATGAAGATAAGAAGTGAGTAAAAGTGGTGTGTGTTTGTAGGAGAATCATAAAGAATCAAAGTAAGTTATCAAACCTGCTTGAGAGTGTATTCGTAAAAGGTAAAATGGTAAAATTAAACTGTGTGTCTTACCAAAGCTGTTGTTGACCTTAGATAAACCAACGCGGTGAGCCATCTCAGGGTTGATGTGAAATCGAGGGGTTTACGCGTCAATTATGGGTGTGTGTGGACATCCGAGGTTTAAATGTGTTTTGGTCGTGGGTTGTACTTCATGTAGTATGGTTGGTTATAATTGTTGAAGTTTTGTTTTATCACCGTAGTCATGAATTAAAAAAAGTATGGTTGAAATGTTTTGGATTTTTGGTGAGGAATTACAGAATTACAGTGCAATATCGTCATCTGTGGGTAGTAAACTACCCCGGGTCCTAAAAACTTCCATGGGTCGATGTTCGGCGATGCATCAACCGTGAGGGTTTCAATCGTGAATAGGGTTATCAATTTGAGGTAGTCAAGGTTTTTAAGGTTTGTATTTTGAAGTTTTATGATAACCTTGTAAAACGGGCATATAATTGTGAGTGTAAGGTTGTAAGTATATAGATATCATTATTTAGTTGGTGTTTGAATTATCATCTGTAATTAGAAGTCAATGTGGACGTTGTCATGCGTTTGAATCACTATATATATATATATATATATATATATATATATATATATACAGCATATGGATAATGGATTGTACATTATATTACATAAGGATTGTTCAATGTGACTATATTATCCGTGACCATGTTCATGTGGTTTGATTTGAAGTGTATTTAATCCGAGTGGTTGAACATTTAGGTTTTGTTCGGGCATCTGGTCACATTTATGGCTTAATTCTGCTAAGGACAAGTATTTTTTTTAGAAAAAGGAATTCTATACGTATGTCAGCAGGATGCCAAGGATGCCAAATTTGATGTGACTGGTTAAGGTCATGTAGTTTTGTTGTTTTCACAGGAGAGTGCCACAGGGTTTGCTTGTCATGTGTTGGTTCTTGCATGTTCTCACTTGTAACCCAGTGTGTCCCAGTAAGTTCTTTGGTTTGTTATATCCACTCTAGTGTTTTCAAGGTGGTATTCAGACACAATGTCAATTGGGAGTGGTCAAAATTTTTTTGTATCTCTGTGTTCAGGGTGGTGTGGACGTTTTTGGCTGGTTTTGGTTAGGCTTGGGGTTGATGGAAGGCCTGGAAGATTTGGGTTATGGGATGTTATCATGTTTTGTTAGTGTTGTGTCTGGTATTAAGTTTTGCTGTGATAAGTGTGTCTCTCAGGTTAGTATTACGTTGGTAGGCTACAATTGGAGGTTCTTGCAACAGATTCCTCAGAGAAGGAAAAGTCAAATTTGATGGTAGGATGGAAATTGTTTATGTATTTAAGGAATTTTTCCAGTTTGTCAGTGCCATGTGTCCAAATTGCAAATATGTCATCTATAAATCTTATCCATTCAATAGGTATAAGATTTTCAGGAGCTTGTTGGAGGAGCTCCTGTTCAAGTGCTGCCATGAATATGTTTGCATAGGTAGGTGCCATTGGTGATCCCATAGCAGATGTAGTTTATTTTTGCTTTTGTGTCTGTTGTTATTTGTGTTCCGTTGTGTTTTCAAATATTTTAGGATGTTTCGTTTGTTGTAATTGTTTGTATCTGTGTTGAGTTTTATCTGGTTTTTTGTTATTTGTGGTGTGTGGGTTTGTTGCGTCTTAGAAAATCCAGGATTTGTTGTTGTGTGTTGTCGTTCAAGTGAGATGGAATGTTTTTGTGGGGTGCTGATTGTTGCTCATTGTTGTTTGGTTGGTGGGTTCGGTGTCTGTTGTTATTAGGTTGTCGATAGTGGGTTGGTATTCGAAGTTGTGGTGTTCTTGTTACTGTTGTTGTGCTAGTTGTTCCGGGTTTGTGGTGGTGTGGGGTGTGGGTTTGCATGAGGGGTTTTGGTTTGTGTCTGTTGGTTGGTGTGTGTGGGTTTGTTGGTTGGTTGGCTGGTTGTTCTGTATGGTGTCCTATGGGGTGAGGAGGTTGTTGGAGTGATTCTGGTATTTGTGTTGTTAAGTTGTTTAAGTTTTATGTTGTGATTGTGGGATGGTGCTAGGCAGGCTTGTTTTGTGTATTTGGTTGCAATGGCGTCTGTTTGTTGTAGTATGTTGTTGGCAGTCGTTGTGTCACATTTGTTGTTTATTTGTGCAGATTTATGTTGTATTTTAAACTCTGTGTTTGTTATTTCCTGTTTGTGATAGTCAATGGTTACAGTCAGTAGTTCTTGTGAGGCATTCATTAAGATGTCCTCCCATCTTTGTTGTAGGTCTTTGTTCAGGTAGTGTTTGCTTTTGTGTGTGATTTCTAGTCCAGGGGGTAGTGTCTGTGCTTTTTTGTGTTCTACCAGTTCGTCAAGTGTGCATTTGAGTTTCGATAATTTGGTTTTCTGTGTGCTAATAATGCGGAATGTTTCCAGGAGGTGTGGTGGTATGCTGTTGGGGTTGGGAATGGATTGTGGTTGGTCATTGTGTGGTGTGGTGTTGGTTGTGATTTGGGGGTTAGTTGTGATTTGGGGTGTGTTGTTTGTCTCTGGGTTTTCGTCTTCTGTCTTTAAAAGTTTTTGTTTTTCTTTATGTAGGCCTTCTATTATTGAATCAGTTTCCTGATCGGATATGATCAATTTGTGGCCAAAAATAAGGGAGGTGTCCAAGTTTGTTATGTCTCCGTCGTCAGTCCGTAAAAATTCATCTATCTTTTCGTCAGACATGTCAGGTGAGGGTGGGGGGTTGGGTTGGGCATGGGTTAGTGTCAAGGATGGGGATTGTGTTGTCAGGGTTATCAATGGACATATTCTGGGGGTTGGTTGGGTTTTTGGTAGGGTTTTTGGTCGGGTTGCTTCGATTTGTGGAATTGAATGGGACTTCTTAAAAATTAAGGTTATCTTTTGTGAGTAATAGTTCCATTTAAGTAGTGATCGTTGTGTTTATTTTATATTTTGACATAGGTAATTGGAACCATATTGTAGTTCTTAAATAGTTATAAGTTAATTTGTAACAATTGTCTGAATTAAACAAACTAGAGAAAAAAATAGGACGTTATTTGTATGTGGGCTAAAGGGGAACATAATGAGTAATTTGTTGAATAGTTAATTGCAAATTGAGGGGCGTAGAAATAGAAATAACCAGATGGGGTAGTTTGGAATTTGTTGGACAAACGCCAACCATGTGGTGTGTTTGAAATAAAATTTTTTTAAAAAAGGGTTTTGTTTGTGTATGATGGAGTTCTTCAAGAAACTATGTAGTTGCGTTTGTAGTAATAGGTTGTGTAGCGTTACTGGTGGTGTTTAAATCAAGGTTATGTAAGGAGGTAGGTAGAAAAGTAAAACAGAAGCAAGAGAGGCAAGCGTGCGAATCAGTATCCCCGTACGCGGCGTTTCATCCTTTTGCTGACTCATCAGCTGGAAGCAGGGTTGGCTTTGTGTGAAAGAACAATGAAAATAAGAAGTGAGTAAAAGTGGTGTGTGTTTGTAGGAGAATCATAAAGAATCAAAGTAAGTTATCAAACCTGCATGAGAGTGTATTCGTAAAAGGTAAAATTAAACTGTGTGTCTTACCAAAGCTGTTGTTGACCTTAGATAAACCAACACGGTGAGCCATCTCAGGGTTGATGTGAAATCGAGTGTAATTTTACTTAAAAATCGTTTTGAATTGCTTGACAGCAGAGCTTGTGTTTGAGCTTGTATTCGTTCAAGAGGCTTGATCGAAAAGGGGTCAACGATTGCATGTGTGTGCATAAAATGTGTTAATATGTTACGTCACTGAGGTCAGGTGTCAAAGTCTGTGTTGGGGATAGTGGGGGTTTACGTGTCAATTATGGTTGCGTGTGGACATCCGAGGTTTAAATGTGTTTTGGTCGTGGGTTGTACTTCATGTAGTATGGTTGGTTATAATTGTTGAAGTTTCGTTTTATCACCGTAGTCATGAATTAAAAAAGTATGGTTGAAATGTTTTGGATTTTTGGTGAGGAATTACAGAATTACAGTGCAATATCATCATCTGTGGGTAGTAAACTACCCCAGGTCCTAAAAACATCTGTGGGTCGATGTTCGGCAATGCATCAACCGTGAGGGTTTCAATCGTGAATAGGGTTATCAATTTGAGGTAGTCAAGGTTTTTAAGGTTTGTATTTTGAAGTTTTATGATAAGCAATGAGTAAGCCAGGAAATGC